GAACATAACAGGGAACCAGCCACATGAGCTAAAGGATTACATGAACATGGTCAACAGAAACTAAAACACATGCATGTTAACCTAGATATTTTTCCTTCAAACAATATATTGTGGTATTTTTATCCCACCCTATAAATAAGCTAATTATCATGACTTTTTCTTCATTTTAATAGAAAAAAAAGTTTACATGAAAAAAACAGCAAGTTAAAAAACAGGGTACCCTATTAACTCAAGTGTTAATTTACAGTATATGCCAGGTTTTAACTAGTGCGTAACTTTCAGGAGGAATGTTATAACTAGCTTCACTTAAGTGACTATTTCCTTGTTTTTGCTGAATGTTTTGCTGCATGTACAGTATAAGTAGTACAAAAGAAGAAAAACGTTCAGCTGGTACACAGTAGATCCCTATTGTGAGCATGTCTATTACCCTGAGAAGCCACCTTTCATCTCCACACAGGGTCTTGCAGAGTAACAACCACCTCCTGAAGCCCTGTATTGTCGCTCCCTGAACTCTCCAGTAGACTCATAGAATGAGGGCCATTTATCGAGCTTAGTAGCCTTGGGAGAAAATTATAGAATGCCATCGCTTGACTCATCGAATGGAAACTATAACAGACTTAAATTCATCGAAGCTTAGTTTTTATGAAATATGTTCTGCCAGTTTTAAATTTCTTTATAACCAATATCAGCAAGTCTTTACAAAGTAAATGGAGATTACAAAAATGTTTCTGTATGTTAATGTACTGTATGTGTAAAAAAAGAGTATCAAAACTTTTATTTTTCTTACTTTATTTTTTGCAAATGGAGGCAGTCTTTATGTTATGGGTACATTTTGAGCTGTAGATTGCACTGTGATCGTATAAATGCCACTTTTATATTTGCGACTCATTTAGGGGATTTTCATTTTGAAATACTGTACTGTTTCCTAAGGTGACAGACAAGTAGTGAAGAAGACCCCTCAATGTATTTCCCCATAGTCAAAATAATATGGTATTCGTGCCTCAGTTTTGTGCTTATAGTGATCATAGTAGATTGGGATGACTGACATTTGTAATGGACAACAATAGTCTACAAAGTGTCACGGAGAATTAGTACAAAAATCATCTTAAAGATAAGGAAGGGAAAGCTGTACATTTGTTCTCAAATATTAAATTCTCCTGGTGTTGATGTCTTACTGTTATGGGATTATTTAATCGAAAATATTGAGTTTCATACAGTATGTTAGCAATGTACCCTATAGAAAAAATTTCAATGCAAGATCTTCTTTCCAAATCATCCTGTATTTAGAATGATTTTCTTCAGGAGTCATCTGTAGCTGTGTGATGTATAGTACTAGAGTTCTGGAGTTGCCTCCAAGGCAAAAAAAACCCCAAAAAACAATCGTGAATAAAACATCCTTGAACTCCCTTGAGGGACTGATTCTTAAGAGTAATGCTTAGAGCTTGAACAACAGATCCAGTTAGTAATAGGCTGCATTTTAACATCCTGTATAAAATATTACGTTCTTTAAAAGTGATTTTAATTCTTTACAAACTTTAAAACTAATTTTTAAAGTTTTTAATAGTGCTTTTCTTGAGCACCATTGACTTTGCAACACCAGCTCCCCTCCGTCTTGTAAAAAATTCTCAGTCAATTTGCAGGAAGTGTCTGCATACTGATGAAAATGCTGAATCTGCTGTCACAGCCTGACACCTTTTACAGATGATTTGGCTTCACTCAAGGACTAACTCAGATGAAATGCCCTTTTCATTCCTGGAATCAATTGAGGTTCTATTATTTTAAAGAAAATTCAAAGTGATTCTTATGTTTTTTTGTTAGTGTCTAGAGAGATTGGACACTGGATCTGTGATCTCAATCTCTTTATCCACACTGCAGCAATCTTTTTCAGTAACAGATACAAGAATTCTAACTTGCTAATCTTAGAATTAGTCATCTACTTTCCAGGTTTTTCTCTATTGGAATAATCATAGATGCCTTTTTAAATGTAAGAATGGTAATGTACTGTAATTGATAGATTTGGATCTGATTTTAAGTCTTAAAAATGTTGTACTTTTTTCTTTATGCAGACATACACACATACTTTTCAGTTCAGTTATCATATACAGTATATAGTACAATGAATCTTAAAAAAATCCATTGTACTATGCAATAATAATTTTGTTAAGCTGACCAAAAGTTACTGTATTATATCAATTTTCAATTTTTTTCTGAATTTGTATGACACTGGGAAATACCATATATTACATGTATACATACTATGGAGCGTGTATCTCAGCGTACATTCTGATTTTTCATATTCTTGCTGTGAGGTTTAATGTAATATTTTGCTGAACTGCAAGTGTAAGAAAATTAATAAAAGGTTTGAACAGAGGCTGGACTGACATATCTCCAGTCAGGGTGTTTTCAGCAATTGTGGAGTGTCAGGTTAGGCTTTTGGCTTAATTCTTCCATGAAAACCAATTTGCTCACAATCAATAAATCTAAGAATATAGTAAATAACTTTGAGGGCTGTGGTATAAATGCTTTAAAAATAGCTAGACCACAGAAATGCATTATTTAGCTTGATGTTGGATGCTTTTCATTGAGATACTCCAAGAACTTGCCGTGGTCCTTATCCAGCAAGGCTTTAGTTCTGTAATTACTGTATGTTCTTGTTTACCAACAATTATATTGATTATACCCCCAATCCAGTAAAAATTGTTGGTTTGTTTTCTAGTTAAATGGAAAGATGATGCTGCTTAATAATACTGCATAAAAAAAAATCATCATGATGAATGAAAAGACATTTATTTGTTAGATATTTGTTTTCTAATTCAAGGCATTTCATCTTCACGAGAGATGAGTTGTTTTTTGTATTTATTTGATAATTTGTGATACAAATCAGATTATTTGTTTTACTAAAAATTCAAACAGGCTTAGCTATTCAGTTGTTTTTGTCATTATTGTTTGAGTTTCAAAATTTAGCATTTTGCCTTCTATCATACACCATTAATCAAGCAAAAGTTGTTCATATACAGTACCAAATTACCTGAATGGTCCAAGTCTTGTATTTGTATAATTACACACATTTCAGTTTGGGCTGCCTTGGCTTTATAGTATGCCTGTGCTTCTGAATTGTAATGAAAATGTAATTTTTCATGACAACTTTTATCCCTACAAATGCACATGTTAAGAGTTAAAAATACATTATTTCTGGTTTCTGTAATTAACTGGTCATTTACTGAAATAGCTGACGTGTCTTTAGTCCATTTCATCCATTAGTAACAGAAGAACAGCTCATTTAAACTTAATTTATATAAATGCTACCTGTGAGGCAAGACAAGTTGGCAGCTGAATGTAAAAAATGCTTTATGGCCTCAAACTGCGGCATCATTAGTGCTGGCTGTTAGACAAAGAAATGGAATATTATGCTATAGGCCCAATGCTGCATAGGATACAATTATTTTACAAATATAAGTGGAATATCAGGCTTACAGTAAGTGGTGATACTTAAATGAAATGTAGACGTTTTAGCAATAAAGTTAGCTATCTTACAACTCCATGCAAGATTTTCCCAATCAGTGTAAAGTTGCATTTTACAACTCACATGCAGCTTGTTGCCATATCTGAAGCAGATAAATGCTGTATGAGGCTCCGCTTGCAGGTGCCTTTAGTGAAACAGATTGGAAAGGGTTGTGTGTTGAGTGTTTGACAAAACCTGATTTCACGTGTTTTGTACTGAGATTGAAAACCTGTCAGTGAGCAGAGACTTCCCTTCTAGCAATTGAACAGAACGGTCGTACTGAACAGTTCTCCTTTGTAAGGAAAAGTGCAGAAAGGTTAATGCACACATAAATGCACTTGGTTCAGGTTAGCATGACCCTGGAGCCCCACAGTGTGTAAAGGCAAACAGCTTTCAGTATCGACAATTAACTGGAGACATTAAACTTCGTGTTCACATTGACAGGCAACAGAACAAAATTTGTCAGTAGATCATTTCAAATTGCACTTCAGTTGCGGATGACCTCTGCTCAAGATTTAATTATAGCTACTTACTGTAGCTTTTTGAATTTCCTTGTTTAACACTAGCCATTTAACATTTGGGATTTCAATATGTGCCTTCGCTAGCAGTTAGGTTTTGTATAATGTAAAATTACTGTACATATTTTTTTATTTCAAATTTTTCCCTTTATACCTAAAAAGAGTGCCCTCTGGTGGCAAGCGACAGCACCACTGGATGATTGCTGGCTGATTTATATTTCAGCGCTAAAGAGGATTGCAAAAAATAAGGGAACATTTTGCATGAATTGATCTTTTATGTTAAGATTACATTACTTCAATGTTGCTGTCAGTGTGTGAAATTAAATATATTCAACCCAAAGTTATGTACAGTTTAAACCTCTGTTTAATGGACGTCCTTTAACAGACTTTGGATTTAATGGACAAAATCTCCTAATAAGGAATTTGGCTGAAAATCAGAAATACACAAATATGCACAAATAATAAATCAAGGTAAAAAAGTATAATACTTAGGTTTACAATTCAGGAATAACAATGGTGCCCTATAGGGGCAGGTATTTGCTTACAATGGGTGCTGTTTGTGTGTGCTTTAGAAAGTTATACAGTATATTTACAGTTTTCAAAATATAAAGAATATATAATGGGCATTTAGCAATAATGAACACCCTTGTAAGATGGGTCTTGGATGTTTTATCATTTAAGATCTACTTCCTTTGATGGCTTGAATATCCATATGTGTTAAAAACATTAACTTTGGTGCTTGCTAATGTGAAGTCAAAACCTTGTTTTAAAACTCAGCTTGTATCTTGGTGTGTGCAAATCTCTGCATCTGTGTATTCATTATTCATGCTCGGCCGTTATGTCTGTCTGGTTCCGTGCTGCTCAGAAGCTGAAGCTGGCTTCTCTGAATCATTCTACGTGTTGTGGTCCATGTACTGTAGCCCTGGTGAGTGGCACCTGCCTGAATGCACTGGATACTGAAGTCCTCTCTTTGTCCACAGAACAGGTCGGCTGCAGTGCAAGCTTCCCCACACACGGCCCAGCCAACATGTATGAGCCCTGCCCTGATGAATGCTCCCTGGGTGAGAGAGTGGTTCAGTCAACCCCATCCATCCCATTCTTGCCACTCAGTGGCATCTAGGTTCATCTCAAAGGGCCATTTTCATGTCGTCCGATCGGTTTCGTCAAATGAGCAAAAGCATCTACTGAGAGAAGATTGTGAAGAATTGTTAAATCCTCTACTTGTTTAATCAATTTCACTGCATTTTAGATATTTGCTGCCTTAATGTCTTTTGTTTTAGACTTACTGCAGTAAAAGCTCAATCAAAGAAAAAAAATCTGATCATTGCCTTTTTATTACGATCACAGCCACCCAATTCATTTCGTACCGAGCTATTACTTGAAACAGGATAACCCTTTCTTTGGCCTTCATTGCATCTGAATTTAGAGGAGAACCTCCCAGACTTGTGTGTTTGAGTCTTTTACAGAACAAAACTTGTAGCTTTAAAACTATGATACTCTATGTATTATAATTGGCAAAAACTTCATTATCCAGCTGAGAAGGCAAATAAAGGGTTAATTTATAACTGATGTTTGAACTCAAACAACATAATATCTAGTGCTTATAATAAACTGTTCTCTGCACCACATTTGCCCAAAGGCAAGCAGTTACAAAAGTTACAATCCAGTGCCTTATTTTTCGTACATGTTTTCCCTTTTAAGTTCCAAAACTTAAATCTGCTTAATGACTTGCTTTTGTTATATTTCTATCATCCTGCCTGCTAATACTTCATCAGTGCTCTTCATGATGGGTACATACATGCAAACTGCACTAAATAAATTGGACTGTCAAACAGTGGCATTGATTAGCCAATTTTAAGAGTATCAGCAGTTTCCTTGACTTGAGGAGGCACTTGGATATTTATTAATATTACAGACTGTAAATTCTAACATGCACACTTGGATCTGACACAGTAGAAGCTGCATCTTTCAAACCTTAATAGCAGCGTATGCATTTGTGGATCAGAACAGTGTTCTGTCCCTTTTTAATAAGGAAACAGAATTCAATCAGCTATGATATTCAACCCAAATATATATATATATTGACTGGTCCTTGTTTTATATTTAATTTCTGTTGTATTTTTAACTTAAATAGTGCAGTTGAGAAATAATTGTCCTTAGCCAGTGTTAATACTGTAACACTTTAGTTACTAATAGGATGTTGTGACATTATTTTATGTCATTAACAACTTCAAAGCACACACTTTGAAACTTCAAAGCACACAAACTCAATACATTTTATATCTTGAAGTGTTCTCAAAAATCTGCACTCAATTATATGTAATTTGTATAAGTATGTTGTTTTTTTATATGTATGGTAATGCAACGGTAATGCAACAATTGCTTCTTCTTAACCTATTTTTTTCAGGTATAATCCTAAAATGTATTATCTAGTTAATTAGTTTTTCCAGCTGGAACAGTTTTGAATTCACATCTTCATATTGAAATTGTGTACGTGACACTTGCAGAAATAAAGTTACAAACCATATTGAAGAAATTTGGAAAACCAAAAACACGCATTTTAGAATTTTTAAGAAATACGTTGTCATGCATTACTACCTCATGCTAATGTTGTTTAGAACAAAAATGGGTAAATTAAATGCACTTTTATAACATTAAATAAAAGCTCAGTCTATGCAACCCTGAACATCCAGATAGGGATATGAAGAACACATTGATGACATTGTTGTTACCAGGCTTGCTGGCTGTCTTTCAAATATTTTTGCTTTGATTCAGAATGTACTCTGATCTTGGCATAATTCCAAAAGCGCTCCAGCTAATGTTACAGAATTCAGCTTCAGTGGAAATCAAAAGCTACAAATGTAATTTATTTTCCAGTTGCTTATGTCATATGTAACTATATTTGCAGCTTTAAACATCAAAGGTTACTTTCAGTAACTGTTAAGCAAATTATTTTTACAACACAAAAAAAAATTGTCAAGATACATCTTCCTTGTCAATTGAATTTTTATTGACAGATTTCTCTATTTCAGTTCCTGCATTTTTTTCCCCAACAGAAGTATTGCCACCCTTCATCCACAAACATATTTTTCTTCTTTCCACGCGTGTACAGGAGTCTTTCTAAAGTGCTTACTAGGAATTTTAACTACCATTTGGATGAATGAGTGCTCAATGAACACCAATTCGTTTAACAACAATATATGTTGAACTTTCAAAATTGGTGAAGCCTAAGTCTGCATTTTTACTAAAAAAAAACTGGAAGGCAATTGTGGACAGACTACACTTTAAATCCTTTATGTTGGCATAGTGTACTATGAACAGAATTAAATATTGCAAATAACTATTTCTTTTGATGCAACTTTTAATGTACAGTACTATCTTCACTGATTGAGATGAAAGACTGATATTTTTTCAGACGAAGGGGCAAAAATCATCCAGATCAGCCTAATCTTTTTTCTTTCCAATCTTTTTCCTTCCGTTTTTGTTTCCCTCAAGAAGTATCGGTATCAGGATGAAGATATTTCGCCGCAGGATCACGGCTTCCCTCGTCTGACCAATGAAGTCCGTCCCCCGGAGCTGGTGCATGTGTCCGAAAAGAACCTGTCGGAGATCGAAAATGTCCATGGATATGTTTCTCATTCACACATTTCTCCCCTGAAGGTAATGTCACGACGCTGTGTGGCTGGAGCCATGGTGTGAGTCTAACATAACACGGTGTTCCTTTTGTGTGCGAGACATTTTATCCTTTTATTTTTCATGTCTGCAGATTTATTGCTTTACGCTTATTCAGTTAAAACATTTGTAACTCATGTTAAACAAAGCGTAGTAAAGACACAATCCAGTTCCAAAATGATTTATATCACTGTATGTCTTGCTAGCAGGGTGAGCACAAAAGTGAACTAAGTTTCCAATAAGACCATACAGTACATTTCAGTTAAATACATCTAGAGACCAGTGAAAACCTTGTTGTTTTCATTGATTTGTTATGTAACATAACGTTAACCTTAAAATGTTATTGGAAAAAGCATGCAAAACAAAAAGGTGAAGGTTTGTAAGGTGGCCACTCTAAATGGAGTTTAGAACAAAAGTTTGGTTGGTTTGACAAGAGTTCTCTCAGACTCTCACCTCTGACTTAGTTGCCTCAGCTAAAACATTACAAATACTATATGTTAACCCCTTCTCTCCCTTGCATATGTCTTTCCGCCTCCCACCTCAACCCCATCTCTACTGTACCTCTGCAGCTCCCCCTTGGTCACTCCTTGCTCTGCACGGGGGTCCCAGCCTCCTCGTCCTATGACCAGGAGGTCAGCCCTCAGCCAAGCGGGTTAAGCCAATTTCGACACCATTATCCTTTGAGTACACTTCATTCTTGGGTATTGCTGCTCATTTTCAATTAAAACGAACAGTACACACTGGTTTTCCATTGCACTGTTTTGCTTTTCGTGATATCCTTCCATCCATTACCAGAACTCTGCTTCTTCCCGATAACGGTCATGGTAGAGCCCACCCCAGAAGCACAGGGCACAGCGACAGAAGCACACGTACAGTATGTCTTTGGAACATAGGGGCAAACTCCACAAACTCATGACAAACTCATACAAACTTAGAGCATGTCTACCCCCACACAGAGAGGAGGGTCTGTCAGTCCCAGGAACTGTGAGGCAGCCATTTTTAAAAACATAAAGATAAAAAGATTTTGCAGTTGAGTGCAGTTCAGAGTGACATTTGTTCCCTTTTCTAAAAAAGTACTGGTAAATGAGAAAATAATACCTTATTTAAAATCTTCCTGCAGTACTTAAAACATCAAAGGTCAGAGTTGCTTTTTAGCCACGGGCTAGGCCAACAGGGGTCCTGTTCGCAGATAAAAGATGGAGGAACTAGCTCAAATTCATTGTCCACAGATTGCTGACTTCCATTTTATAATAGTTGACATACAGTCACTCTTTTTTTTCCAAGTGAAGCAAAAGTTAGGGCTTGGAATCTGTATTGAAAATTAACACCATTACCTGAACGAAGTTTGAACACATTAATATGATTAAATGTCAGGATTGATTTCAATGCCAATCTGTTGACCGTTTTCATCAATTTAATATTTAGTGGCAGACTTAGTCCAAAATGTGGTGTTCGTAGAGGCCACTTGCAAGATTTGTTTTGTATAATTGATTTCATTTTTTGACCAGTTATCTTAGAACAATTTTATAATTTTTGCATGAACAAAAACATTCAGAAAGAATTTCTGTAGTCAACTAAATTGAGAAAGCAGGCTGCCTTCTAGTCCTTATATTGGGAGGACTGGTGATGAAAAATAACAGCAATGTTGAATAATTTCTTTTTCCATCATTGATGGTCTTAAAAAAAAAGAAGTTTACAGTTCTTGCTTATACAGTATGTTGTAAATTATATTGTTTTATTCATCAAGGACTTGATTTTACAGATTCTTTCACATACAATATTTCTCCATCCATTAAACATGGTTGCTTAAAATATTCTACTGGGGCTCTCTTACAGTATATACCTAATACATACAGTACAGTACCTGCAGTATATACAGTACTATATAACATACTGTACAGTTTCTGTAGGTTGTCATATCATACATCAGCACTAGGTGGTGCCCAAACTTAAAGTTACTTTTATTTATCATTGAGACCATTGGCCAAATCACAACATTCTTAATATACAGTAGGAACATTATAAGCATTGTGGTTTATTCTGTAATTTGATTCAGTTGTTTCTGTTGCTATATAAATAGAACAGAGTTGTAGCATGTATTCAGTATCATACAACCCAATTAAATAATTTTCTTTCATTTGAGGCTTTATATTTTGGCAAACTGGATTTTCATTGGAGGGGAACGGATGAATATTTGTTTGGAATCCTTTTATCAGCAGGGAAGAAAGCTATAACAAGAAAGTGGCTTCACACAGATTTACCAACAATGAATGATTAGATTGGATTATTAAATGTAATAATAAATGTATATAATGGAAAATTTAACATTTTCACTTAAATTACAAATGAATACATTTGTCAAATATTGGTCTAGATGGGTTAAGTACATTAAAACTTTAAGGTCTGAATTTGTTGAGATATAAAATAACTGACACTTAATTAATAAGGTACAGTACATTTATGTAGTCTCCTCCCTCTTTATATTCATAAAAGTATACATGTTTCTCATTTTGAATGTATACAGTTTGTTTAAAAGTTATATAATTGTAAAGTACTAAGGGAACAAACAGGAATAGACAATTTTGCTTGTGATGTATAGTCGAAAGTGTATTGTAAAAGTAAGGCTGAGTAATGGTGATTATATGTAAAATGGTTTTGTTTTGTTCACTAAAATAAAAAAAAGAAAACTTTCTTTAGAAACATCTGCACAGCATAATTAGGGAAAGGGTATCAGTTTCATCATGTTTTTACAATACACATTTTATCTTCATTTTTCTTTATGAATTATGTTTTGAGCTGTAAATTGCTGTTCATGTCAAGAAAAGGAACTGAATTGTTGCATTCATGGTGAAGTTGGCTTTATGACTACAAAACGTGAATAAATTACTTTCAGAGCAACAAACTGAATGCAGCAATGAATTAAAATTTAACTGGAAATTGGATGCACCCCCATTAATTAGCAATCCAGATTGTACTGCATGCTGAAGCTGTTTAAGATCCACTGTGAGTAGTTTTGATATACTACTCTGTAACGAAATATGTTTTAAATATTCAGGGCTGTTCACATCAGCTGACAAAACAGGCCAAGCTTTGATGTGGCAGCTTCATTAGTGGGCCTCTCATAAAATCACCTCCAAACCATATCTATGGTGCATTTTGCTGCCTAGATTATGAGATGAAGTGGAGCTTAATTGTACCCTTTTGTAGAAGATAAAAATACAAGGAATGGAAAAATGTAAGGCTTTCAAGAAAAAAACTGATGCCAAGGCCTTTGTGTGAATGTCTCCACTAAAACATCTGTACATGTGAGTGATATTTATTTATACATTTCTATTTCTTGCCCATTCCTGAAACTACTTTTTGGATTGGAAATCTGACACGTTCACATCTGATCTCCACATTGATATGGACAGTTACACTTGATTAATACATGTTATTCTACTATAGGTACTAAATATAAATGTGTTTCAGGGAATCATCTCCATTTTATGAGGCAGAAGACACCTGAAATCCTTCAGTGTTGCCTTTTGCATACAATGAGACATATGGAACAAATAAATTGACACCCTGTAAAGAAGGATTCCTTAAAATTAAAGAATGTCATTGACAGAAATCATATTGGCTGTCACCACAATAAACCTTGACTGTGTTAGAGCCCAAACCAACATGATCATAAGTTGACAGAAATGCAGAAACCCACTGGCTATCCAAATGATTTATGATACACAGGAACAATAAGACAACACACTGTGAAAACCAATATCCTGTCATGGGCAAGCTGCACTTGTTTAAACTAGTATTAAATAACTGGTGTGCTGGTCAACTATGGGAAATCCTAGGGAAAATTATGGTCACTGTGTCAATCTAAAAAAAAAAGGAATATCGTTTTTCTTATAATGGTGCTCTGTGCTGAGTATAGCCACTTACAAAGGTAAAAGGGAATGAAAGAAAAAAGCAGGCAGTCTATTGAAAAAGCTTAACCATCATGACCTGGATGAATCACTTAAACATATAACTAGCTGGGCTATTTTCCTTTTTCATCTTTTCACCTTCTGCTTTAATGTACTAAGATGCGCCTCGATGGAATTCACAGAACACACCACTTTCTATGCTTGAATACTTCACATATACTGTATAATTAGTTAATGCACTTTTTCTTGTTATTGTTTCATTGCTTTGGTTATTTTCAGTGTTTTGAAAGTTTATAATTTTACCATCTTTCTGTTCTCATTCAAAAACCAAGAGCTTAATTAGTATTTTTGTCTGGTAAGATGCATTCAGATTATGTTAATAGCTGTTCACAGAATTAGCACCGCCTTGCTTTTTGGCATCCTTGTTCTTTTTAAGGTCCCCATTAACTTACAAATACTTGCTCAGTACAAGTGGCATGCCATTTAGGAGAGACTTACTGCAGATAAGTCCTTACTTCGTGCGTGCTGTTGCTGTCAGTGCACTCAGATTTATGAATAATTGAATGGCGACACCCACAGATAACAATTTCACGTCAGAAGAATCGGAGACTTTCAGGTTTTACCTAGCCAATGGAGATTAAAAGTTGAGCAGTTACAAGTAGGTGTACCAGTGTGTTCACGTGTTTTGTTTTTACATCTGAAGGGAGGTGTTTGTCAGGTCTTTAAAAGCTGATCTGTACTGTATTTGTGTTGATGAAAAACTCTTACAAGAAGAGAAGTCAAAAAGCAAGGCTGTTAAATCTTTAAATCCTTTTGGCTTGCTTGAAAACACTACTTATGGCTTCTTGTCCTATTATAAAAGGTCATGTGCATAATAAAGGTGACATTCAAAAATAATTTAAACCTTTCCTCCTCATCCTGGTTGTGAGAGGAGAATTTCATTCTTAGAGCTTATTTAAGAGCTTATATATCACAATTATGAGAGATGATTTTATGAACTAGGACCTATTGTTCCAGCATATATATATTAACGATTGTATGCCCATTATTAAAACTCACTACTGATGTTATTAGGGTTTTTTTTCTCCATTACATTACACAGGAAGTCTGCTTATCCCTGCATACTCATTCACTTGTGCACTTAAGCCATTGTGGTTCATGCTGAATGAGTGGAATTTGAATTGATCATCTGACTTCTGAAAATGTCTTCTCTTTATTCAGGTATACTTGCTAGTGATTTTATTTCTTATTTCTTACCTGCAGCCTGCACTGGTTACCCGTTTTGATCTTACATACCCGGGTCTGACTGCTGCAAACTACCTGGCAAGTTTATTTTCATTTGCAAATGTATTTCCTATATGATTGGGTACTGTGGGTTTGAGAAAGTTTCATGTGTGCCCTTTTTTTTGTGTGTGAAACAATGTTTTCAGGTATCGGCCAGTCCCTTCACCTGACTGTGTTTGGATTAAAACGAAAGCTATGGTGTAAGGAATGACTGTAAGTGAGGAATATTTTAATAAATAGGAAAAGTGGTGGCTGGACAGTGTTTTGGGGTTTCTTTTGCTTTATTATAGAGTCCAGTATGTTTTAATGCTGTATACTGTACACTTAGGTATGACAGTTTTGACTAAGTAGTGGCAGACAAACGTTTTTGGCTTTCTTTCCTTTTGTGTCACACATTCAATTGCCTGATGGTACTGCCTTGTCATTGTTAATTGCTACTTACATTTTGTCGTGTTTGAAACTTATTCCATTCCATGATAATTCACAGATGCCCCATGCTTTCTTAACTGATGCTTATTGTTTAATTTGTTCACTATTGTGTTGGCTGTAGGATTTAATATTCTTAAGGTAGTACCTGTGTTCCGGAGTTCTGATAAAAGAATATTTCATGAAAACTGAAGAAATGTAAAGCTCTGAATTAACATAATAAAATACAGGTCTTTTGTTTATTTAGTAGAAGTTAGTGATAATACAAACTATTACAGTATGGGAAGTATAGTATTATTGAAAGTAGGTCTTTGCAGGCTTCTGTTATAGAATGTTTGAGTTTACAGCAACAACATTACATTGACATGACATTTTGACATTACAGTCTTAGTGTGGTGGATCTATGGTTAATTACAGTGTTATGATGGTGGAAGTAATTTGAGAAGCATTTTTTTCAGTACACGTTTACCCATTGAAATTTACTTCCATAGATCTATGTCTTTCCAGCCTCACTAACCTTAATGTTGGCTTCTACTACATGAATCTGTGGTATTGGAATAAGCAATAATGTTTCATAAGAGCTTTAAGATGTCTTTAGCCATAATTTCACTGCTCTGCTGATTGCTTCAGAGACTAAAGGTTGACTTTAATTACTGGTATAATTCCATTATTGATATGACAGTATTATTTCAGCAAAGAATATATATATAAAGAATATATATATATACCTGAAAACAAATCTGAAACAAAGAAACAAACATGTCTGCATTCAGTAAACCACAGTAGATGAAAGCTATTCACCTGATAACACCAGCATGCTCATATGACCCTGATACAGCCCTTATTATCCTAACACGCCTGATGCATATAGTTAACGACAGATAGAGGTCCCCTCTACCTTCCTGCCACTTGACAGTATTCTTGCATATCGTACCTTGGAAAATGCCGGAGCAGATGAGCCTATGTGATTATGAAGCAGGGTGAAAGATGACTCCTTTTTTCTCCCTGGTGTGTTTTTCAAGGCATGAGTCTGTCTTAGAAATGAATAACATGCACCCCATCATAGACAGTACAAACTCACTGTGTTCCTAATTCCTTTCTGTGTTTGAATATCTGTTGATTTTGTTGATCAGTTGGCAGGATAGTTCTTCATTTTCAGTTTTCACAGACATGAGTGGATCTAATACAGAAACTGAAAGTGACTGGATTTGCCAAGCTAAATTTTATATGTGCAAAAAAAAAAGGTCTGCTAATAATGTGCATGAATCATGCAGCAGCTGATGCCTATGGATTCCTCTTCTCAATTTGCACTCTAGCCCTGGGAGCTTGTATGAAAGATTACTTTAATACCAGGTTCTAATTGTACTGCCAAGACTTCTTTTCTTTCCCTTACTGCAGTGCCTAAAGTTCAGCTTTGATATACCTCAGCGTTTTTTTATTTTTTTAAATAATTTGCCCTGAATTTCATTAATAGATCACAGTGCTTTGCTAAAAATAGGAGAAGTCATGGTTTTTAACCGTCTTGATTTCTGCTGTCTGAAAATGGACACACAGTATGGAAACTAATTGAGAAGGGCAGGCTAGCATACATGGCTCTTTCTCTGATCATATGCCTTGAGCTGAGTTTGAATAGTACATTTGGCTGCTGATAGTCTGAACACGCCTACAAACCTGTCAGTTTCAGCCTGGGGCTCGAACAGACACTGAAAGGAACTGTATAAATCATCTTCACTGTTGGTATCACTTTTTCTGTGTGACTGGCGGTGTACTGTACTTGTTAGTGTGTGAGAGTTTGGAATGATTAGTAATTGGAAGTAATTATCATCAAAGGTTAAATTCCTGTTTTCTGTTAATACAGTATATACAGTACTGTAGGGATACTTAAGACTGTATACTGTACACATACATATACAAATGTTCAAGGAGAGGTAGAAATAAGCTTAAGCATTCTCATCCTATCTCATTAAGTAACTGAAAAATTATTTTTATTTGAGCAGTATGCATCACATCTATACAATTCATAAAACTCAAGTAATTTACATTTTGCCCTTCTGCTGTCAAGAGAGAGTGTGGCCAAAGAAATATGAAACATCGCTAAAAATATAAGCTGAAGGTTTTGCATTATTTAAAACCCAACCCGCTCTTTTTCCTCCCCAGTGCCATTTATTTAATTGTACTACATAAAAGCTGGATTAAGAAATACAGTATTATCGATCTGAATTAGTAAATGTGAATTTCATTTTAGGCTTTGTTAGGGGAAAAAAGTGCAAGATTGCTGAAAGATCGCACTGCTTATTCATTGCAACCGAAGTCATATAGGGATCCAGCTCACTTCAATCTTGTTAGAACAACAGTATAGCACAACATTGTTTGGTTAATTAATATAGAAACTGCACATCAAAGGCAAATTTTTACTAATCTTTATATTAAATTATACCGTATATATATATGTAGATGAGGGTGTGAATTATATTATAAATGATAATTTGGTACTAATTAATTAAGAATCGGAGCTAATAGCAAATAAAGATTTATGAGCCTTTAAATGGTCCAGGTCTGTGCGCTGATTCAGTGCAACGATGATGTATTGGATTGCCGTGCTCCCACTTACAAAGACATCTTGCACCACTTAGGTTTAGATATTGTTCTTTTTACATAGATAAAGGCGACTAGATCTAGGTTAGAAACTGATGTTAGAATGCAAATTTGCAATCCATTGCAAATGTAGGACTATTTTTCAAGAATGTGAATATAAATTCTTTATCATTCTAAATGTTTAAAAGAGAGTACATGTTTAAACATGGAATGTGTTTGGTTTAGCTATTGTATCTTAATTTGGTGCCAGAAATTCAAGTGGTACAGTAAAAAAAAACTTTTAAAACTATGTGCTTTAAAAATGTTTTGTGAAGTTACTTTGGTAGGGCATCAGTTATTGCCTGTTGTTTGTTCTGTTTCAGGACATACATGCCATACTGAAGGAGATGCGTTTTTTTTTTCTTCCTGAACGTACTGATGAATGTTCTTGCTCCAGCTGCCTGCAGAACATTTAACCAAAAAGTCCTTTTTTCCGCTCCGTTAAATCAAAGTAAACATGTCTATGGATTTCCTGATGAAGAGCAGACTTCAAAATGAGCAGGTCTTTGGGGAGAGTGACAGCAACCCGTTCTGTCTGCTTAGTATGATTCCATCTTCGCAGTGCCACTGAAATGACGAGAATTTCGTTTTCAAGTAACATGACCTATTATCTAACAATCACATTACAATTATTATTTTTAAAATGATGGAGCAGGTGTAAATTATGCTTCATTCTACGACTGGAAATGTAGATGCAAGAGCTCAGGGAGGCAGTACAGCAAGTGATTGAGGAGGGTAAAAAGAAAAAAAACTTTTGCTTCATTATTCTTGGATCTAGAAATGTTTGCTATATTTAAAAGTACCCGTGAATAATGCAAAATTGACATTGGGAGGTTTTAGGACAATTTTATTTTTGTGTCAAAGAAGTGTTTATATTTCAAAAACAGGGCATTTTCTTCCTTAATTTGGAAAATACAACAGTACAGTATATTTTTCATAAACTTGAATTCTAGGAACCTTTTTAAAAAATGTATTCTAAAGTGCCAGTAATTAATTAATATGCCAATTCTATTTGCAAGGCTAATTTGCTAATAAGTTGTCTAAAACAGTAAGAATACGTCAAATTAACATATTAATTGTTTACTCCAAATATTAAACAAATCACATCTTATTAACTAAAAAATAGTTTCTAGCCCTAGAGCAAAATATAATTAATTTGGTCCAAAGAGGTTTATTTGAAAGGAGCTCATTACTCAATACTGAAAAAAAATCCCTCATTTAATATGAATGCTTTTCTAGAGTTTGTGCCTCCCCATTTGTTGCTGTGTGAAAATATACAGTATAATTGAAAAACTGTTTACAGGAGTAACACATCTGAAAAGATGCAGATTAAAAAATTGTATCACATAGGATAAGACTTACTGCCTTGTAGGTAAAATCCGTAAACTACTGGTATTATGCTATTAAATAATGTAAAATTATTCTACAAATCCTTACCAGGTTATTAAATTGAAAGTACTAATCACAGAAACAGTGCTGATGGGTGCCAATTAGCTCTGTATGTCTGTGTCAAAGCCTTGCCCTTTATACAGTATATTTGCTGTATTCTAGATTCTCATGGAGGCTCTGAATCCTCACATCAGTGAGGCTATGTGATTAAAGTGGGTAGCATTCAAGGATGGATGATGCTCTGTCCTTTCAGGTCAGCAAAAGCCCACATTCATGTAATACAGTGATGGAGCACACTGGCTTTCCAAAGGAGCTTGGCTCTTTACTCAGTAGGTAGCATGTATAATGCCTGTTTTCTGGCTGGGAAGCTAGGATTAGAGGTGCATCAGATTTTAACAACCTACCCTTTTGGTGACAGTAGTAGGTAGTGTATTTGTAATAGCACACAGAGATGTTTTGGAAAAGAGAGATACAATGTCTTAACATGATTTTGAGATGAAGAGATATTACCCTGCACCCATTTCACAGAGAATACAGTCTTGATTTGTTTTTTCACAAGTCAAGGATCATTGAACTGCATCATTAGGTTA